CTCAACAATTTAAATGAACATTTCAGATTTGCTGCATGCATTTGTATGGCCCGCAACAAAGTTGTCGGGGCCATATAGTTTTACCCTTGTCCGTCATTCCGTCATTCTGTCATTCCGTCAATCCGTCATTCCGCAACAAACCATTATACGGACTTTTTTTCTAAACGCCTTCAGATATTGGGCTGATTTTTGGTATGTGAGTTAACCATGATGAGTGACAGATTAAGTTTAAGTGTCGTTCCGCTCCGCTAATTTTTGCGGAAATTACGGGCTTTGGACTTTGATAAATTGTTGAAATCCACAGTTATACGGACTTTTTTTCTAAATGTCTTCAGATATTGGGCTGATTTTTGATATGTGAGTTAACCATGATGAGTTACAGATCAAGTATAAGTTTCGTTCCGCTCCCCTTATTTTTGCGGAAATGACGGGCTTTGGACTTTGATAAATTGTTGAAAATCACAGTTATACCGACTTTTTTCTAAACGCCTTCAGATATTGGGCTGATTTTTGGTATGTGAGTTAACCATGATGAGTTACAGATTAAGTTTAAGTTTCAATCCGCTCCGAAAATTTTTGCCGAAATTACGGGCTTTGGACTTTGATAAATTGTTGAAAATCACAGTTCTAGAGACTTTTTTCTAAACGCCTTTAGATATTGGGCTGATTTTTGGTATGTAAGTTAACCATGATGAGTTACAGATCAAGTTTAAGTTAAGTTCTGCTCCGCTAATTTTTGCCGAAATTAAGGGTTTAAGACTTTGAAAATTGTTGAAAATCACAGTTATACGGACTTTTTTTCTATACGTCTCCAGATTTTGCGCTGATTTTTGATATGTGAGACTACCATGATGAGTTACAGATCAAGTTTATGTTTCGTTCCGCTATGCTGATTTTCATGTCGTTTTAACACATCTTGTTAGATCTGCAGTACATCCACTTCCTGTTTGCTGATAGTTTGAAATTTAATAACTCATTACACAAGGAAATTTTTCATCAAACTAGTATTGGTCTTGAGAGCTTGATACTATCAATGTATATTTGTGTCCACATGTGTTGTTGAAATTGCAGATTTTTCAACTTTTTGAGACGGGACCATTCGTGTCGTTCCGACATATCTAGTTTTCTTTTCTTCTCGCATATGTATCAATTCCAGTGTATGTTGTGACGGTAGACAGAATAAAACCTGTATACTTGACGAGTTAATCAAAGAGTTTACTCTACGAAGGATAATTTTTGATTGATTAACTTCTAGTAACAAATATTTCATGAATATGCAGTGAGAGAACACAATTAATCCAATACGCATATGTTCTGCAATGTGGGTCGACCGAGATGAGCGGGGGATAAAGAATACCACTGTTAATGTTAGATAGGGACAGAATTGCACATATGGATCGCTCAAAGTCTTGTTGCTATGGTTCGTTTTGTGCAGAGAGAGAGAGAGAGTGACACTATCCCTCCACGAATCATCTGATTTAACGTCCCTATTTCGAATTGACGGGTCTGCGTTTTTATACATCCTGCATAGCAAAACGGACACCTTTATAGTATGGATTTATTACCGAATTGGTGAAAATTAGGTGACCATATTAACATACCTCACTCAACCCTTGATTATCTGTTTGCTGTACATTTTGTGTATTCAATTGAATAAATACCTATAATAATATCTTCAACAGATTAGTTATTTGCCTTTAAAAAGTAAACCAACAAAAATACCGAACTCCAAGGAAAATTGAAAACGGAAAGTCCTTTATCAAATGGCAAAACCAAAATCTCATAAACATTAAACGATTGGAAAACAACTGTTATACTTCCTGACTAGGTACAGGCATTAACTTATGTAGAAAATGGTAGATTAAACTTGGTTTTATTGCTAGCTAAACCTCTCACTTTTAAGACAGTCGCATAGAATTTCATTATATTGACAATGTGTGAGCTAAACAAACAGACATAATAGGTAACTCGGACTTCTTTTAAACTGAGTTTTACTGTGCGTATTACTATACGTTTCTTTATTCTACATTGGCTAGAGGTATAGGGGAGGGTTGAGATCTCCCAAAACATGTTTAACCCCGCCGCATTTTTGCGCCTGTTCCAAGTCAGGAGCCTCTGGTCTTTGTTAGTCTTGTATGTTTTTTTAATTTTAGTTAATTTATATGTTTTGGAGTTTAGTGTGAGGTCAATTTTCACTGAACTAGTACACAATTTCATTAAGGGGCCAGCTGAGGACCACCTCCGGGTGCGGGATTTTCTCGCTGCGTTGAAGACCCATTGGTGGCCGTCGACTGTTGTCTGCTCTTTGGTCGGGTTGTTGTCTCTTTGACATATTCCCCATTTCCATTCTCAATTTCATAATAGGTAAAAATGTCAAAGATTGGGATACAGCAGTCAACATTGTATTATAATCTTAATCACTTAAAAAACAAATAACTATTTCAACAAAGGAAACAAAATGGCATATAGACACTCTATAGGCAAAGTACATAAGCAAAATTGAAAGACAAGAATACAAAAATTACCATAGGCCAATAACACAATGGCGGGATATATAAATACCGAGTCACGTCAAAAGTATATTCCCCAAAAAAGAACTAAACATTAAAGGTTAAAAATATACAAAGACAAATAAAAAAAAAACCCACTAAGATGATAAACAACGTCATTAGAAATAAGATGTGGTATGAGTGCCAATGAGACAACTCTCCATCCAAGTCACAATGTGTAAAAAGTCAACAATAATGGTCAAAGTTGGCCTTCAACACGGAGCCTTGGCTCACACCGAACAGCAAGCTATAAAGGGCCCCAAAATGACTAGTGTAAAACAATTCAAACAGGAAAACCAACGGTCTAATCTATATAAAAAACGAGAAACGAGAAACACTTATGAACCACACCAACAAATCATACCTAGAATCTATACTTCAAGACCAACGTATATTAATTGTGAAGTTGATACGGAATATTTATCAACAAGGTATAGGTATCTTCCGATGCACTCTTTTAGAAAAAGGACGAGACGCTCCTTGACATAACCCTGGTTCATTAACTTTCTGCTCAGACACTGTTGACGTTTTATAAAGTGTGAGTAGTAGCTACAAGCTCTGGAATACTGAATGAGTTGGGAAATGTATATCCCATATGCAGGTGAAGTTAGTATATTGCTGCTAAGGTGGGGGGATTTATAATTTCAAAATTATAATCGTCTCGTTTGTCATATATTCTGGTACGGAGATGAACGCTTATGTCAAATTTGAGGTATAAGTCTAAAATTGAGGCGGAGTCATGTCTATTGTTTCTTTAATTTCTAGTTCTGGATAATATATTAATACAAGCAAATCAGAAAAGTTTGAATTGTCTGAATGATCTGGCTTCTTTGATCTTCTTGTTTTTGATAAGTGTCTGAAGGAACTCCGACTCATATGTTGTCAATAAGAAACTCCAGCATACTGATTACTTGTTCCTCTGTATAGCATGTTTTACCTTTTTGTTCACTATCCCAAATCAATAAATGTATAGCGTATGCTACCATTTTAATATTGATTGTGTCGTTTAGACGTGTTTTCAATTTCACACGGGAAATGGTGGTAAACAGGGTTGAGTTCTTCACATTGTTTAAGAATCCAGTCGGCAATGTACCGTTGTTTGTACAGAATTTTGTGAAGCTTCGGTATCAATAACAAGCAAGGTAAGTATTCAGGTTTGCTGTTCAGTGTAATGTTCATTGAAGCCATGAAGGACTTGTGATTCGCCAAAGTCTCATCCTTGTCAAATGATATGTTTTTGTATGTGGGATTACCTGAGTGCTCATTTATCCCTAATTCTTTTACACTCGTAGTAATCCGATTTACATACAAAAACAATATTATCATTACGTTATCTTTAGCGGATTATTATTATTCTCTTTAAAATTCGAATGATCCCTCTTTTATTTTTCAAAATGCGTGTATATGGCCTTTGTATCGTTTTGTGAGACTTATTTTCGTATTTATTACCGTATGGCAATAGCTGTATGATATTCAAAGGAATTTGACAATTTTAAAAATAATTCAATCAATGGCAGTTATTTTATATAAACCGCTTAGCTTTATTTATTTATAATAACAATGATTTTCAAAATGTTTATGGTATTTCACGACGTATGAATTATTTAAAAAGGTTCATGTCGAACCGAAAACCTCTGCACGAGATACGTTCCAATGTTGCCCCCTTTCGAGGTATACGCGTTTTAACACAAAAAAAATCTTAAGAATGATTCTACCTCTTGCGTACCTTCCGAACACTTTTTTTTACTTGTTCTTCGTCTGACATCTTGAGAAAACCGTGACTGCAGTTAAGGACATCAATTTAACACCACTGCTTATTCGTTCATTTTTTTTTTCTTTATAAATACTAAAAATTTGACATAATGCAGCTAAACTGCGTTTTTAGCCTTTTAAAATGATTGTATGGTATGATTGTCAATGAGACAATATCCATAGACCAAAAGACAAAGATGTGATCAATTACAGGTCACCTTACGGCCTTACACTGATTTACACTATGAATAAAACCCGTACAGTAAGCTATAAAACACTGGTATGATGAATTGTGAAAATCAACGACCTGATCTAAACTAAGATGTTTGCTCTTATGTTTTTTTTTTTTTAATTTATGGCGTATTTATTGTTGAGATAACTTCTCTTACGTGTGATAAATCATTCTCTCACATTTAGGCTAGTTTGTGTATTCGTTTATTAATAAGACGCACACCACCTATTCTTGGTCCCCACTGCTTTCGATGTTAATGTTTTTCAATTTCAAGACATTTGAGAGCGGGATGTCAATATACTGTTATTTACATATCAGAGCGTACGGGGTTACCGGTACTTTGGATATACCAAAACAGGTACTACATATATGAGAACGGGCAATATATGCCATCCTTTTTGAATTTCATTCATACATTTTTGAATGATTCAAAATTTTCAGTCAAGGCGTTGGTGGTATTACATCTTACAAAGTCTACCCGAATTATTTGCTTTATACATATTTTATTTCCTACCATGTTAACTAACATATGATGTGTCCCGTGGTTGTCTAAATGTTAGTATTGTTTTTACACGCGTCAGTATGATTGTCGGGCTAAATTATGACAGTAAATGTTTGACTTCTTTGCCAGATTTATTTATTTATATTACTCCATGGTTTGTTCTTCAATTCAATTCAACAATATCTATCATACAGTTCTTACTAAAGTTAGGTTATTATCTTACTTTCAATTGATCAGTACAAATATTGCATACAGTGAAATAGAAACTCCGATATTGATAAACAAAACAACTCGTAAAATGCAGTTTACCCTTTCATCAAAATGCGTCCATGTTATTGCATGTTCCTCATTGTCTTCTTTTTCGGGATTTTTAAACACATTTTGTAAATAAAGAACTGGTGTTAACACAATTTGCAGGAACAAGGGCGGTTTCTTGTTTTCCGATTTATTTTGAAAATAAATGCTAACAGCAACAATTAACGTCGAAAATCCACTGATTAAAATTTGAGAAGCAATAATTAATGTAAAATATGAAACTGTAAGTGAAGAAACGGGCATTGACTGTGCAACAAGTGTCAGAAAAACAATAACTGTTAAAAACTGTGCCATACAAAATCCTAATTTTTCTCCACATTCCGTCGGGATGATAACAGAGAGTGTGTTCAGAAACATAAGGATAATAAATGGAAAACCCGTGGTCAACAGGTGGTAAGAAGATCTCCTCTTCAATGTAATCAAATATTTAATTCCAGTATAAAATGTTGTGTTATCGAGATAATCCGTATAGTTATATGAAAATAATGTTAAGTTAGTAACTTTCCATTCTCCATTTTCTAGAAAATGACTTTCAGAAAAATCGATTCCAGGATTTCCAGGATTTAAAACAAAATCTTTACTATTGTGGTACCAGGATTCTATTCGTATGCTGCACACTTGAATGTCAAAGGGATATTTTGAAATATCCACAGAGCATGACGTCATCAATTCTGTTGACGGATACCACGTCATATGTCCATCTGATAACGCATTCACATATTCATTTTCCTCCAAACGACTAACGCGCATATCCTTGAGAGCATTTACAACAAAAACATCAGGTACCCACAGGTCTCTAACTTTAACTGTCATTTCTTTTACAGATTTATATTTCGTGTTGTCCCATTTGAATATAACATCCTGCCAACTAATAATCCAAAATACCGACATCGATAGAACTTGATGTTTCTCATCCAAACCACTGAGAGCCATAACATACAAAGTAGCGTTCACCACAAGAGACACATTACTAGCAGATTTCGGAACGGCATCAACATTGTACTTCTCCAGCATTTTTTGTTTAACTTCTCTCATGTCATCATAATATTCATATCCATTTAAAATTGTTAGAATTGAAAATAGCACAAATAATTTTAAACCTGACCCCATCTTTTTTTAAGGCAGTAAAATAGTACCTAATGCCATCATTGCTGCTGAATATTGATCTGTTTCCAAACTGTAAAACACTAATATCCGTTTGATATGAACAACGCATAACGTTCCATCAGTTTGTAACATATTTAGAAATTAATGATACATGCTTCTACTTATATTAACGGTTTATCTAAGTATCTACACAATACTTGCACAAATGATCTTACCTATCATGAAACATCGAAATCATGTGTCACATCTTCAAACTTTTGTGCAGTTTTAAGAATACCATTATGTTACCTTCACTACGTCAAAGCCTCAGACAATAGCATACATATACAATCATCAATACCATAAAAAAACATGAAAGAATATACATATAATTAAATTTATTATGCAAACATTATATCTTATAATAATGAAATTTGTCAAATGCAAATTTTTATTTTTAAGTCTCAATATTTGTTTTCAATAAAATTTGAGAAAATGAATGCCATGAATTCATTGGGCACAACAAGTGTTTCGCGAATAACTTTCATCAAAAATTAAAATTAAAATCAATTGAATAGTCAATTATACCATTTTTTTTTCAAAAATGGACCCAAAAAGGTAAAAAAAAAAGTCAAAGCATATGATCAAATTTTCCTCAAGAAGTTGGTACCTTTCATTTTTTTCAAATTTGACTTTACATTAAGTCTTTTTAAAGTAGACTTGCATGACCTCAGTAACTATTTATTATTGTTATTGCATAAGTGATATAGAAATTCTTTGGTCGTCACAATAAATCGTTATCTTATTTTAATACATACTTTGAAAAATGCATTATGAAATTTTCAACTTGGGAATCTTTAAATAGTTAAAAGTGTAAATAAGGTTCAGTTCAAATTTGTATAGCTTTCCTGGCAGCACAGTAAAAAATGAATACACAACAGATTATTTTCTGAGGTGCTTAAAGTTCTTTTCAAAGATAATACTTTCTGAATTGTTCGAGTGATAGTACTTTTCGATGCACAGAGCAGACTTTTGAATGATATACTAAAAAATATTTCATTTACTCTTCTTAATAAATTGTGTTTGTGCATGTGTGTGTGTGCTTTATTTGACATTACATTCGTCAGTGTTCTCTGTTGACATGAGAATTAATTCAATTTGATTGTTTTGTGTATTATTTAACATCAATCGACAAACGTGGTATACTGTGGATTGAGGAATAATTGTATTTTCGTGGATACTTGATTTCGTGGATTTTCCTTAGTCTGCGTACAAGCCTATAGAAAAAATGTACTTCGTTGAACATTTAAATTCGTGATTTACCTCTACCCACGTAATCATTGGTATCCAACGAATAATAATGAATCCACAGTACATATTATTGATGAAGAATGAGAATAATTTAACAATTTGTCATGAATCGATTGATTGAGTGCAAACATTTTGACTACCACCGTAAAACAAGGCTTTTATATCTAGAATAGTCACAAACCGTGGCTTTGCAAAAGATAATCGACATTGTATGTATTTATGCACCACTCAAAGACAAGCGAACTATCCTCGGGTAGTTGAAATTTCCAGATGGCCTTTTATATTGCCGACTATCCGGTATGGTTTTTTCTAATTATTGACGGCCGTACGGTTGCCTATAATTGCTTACATCCACTTCATTTGAACTTTGGTGGATAGTATACGTATCTATGATCCTCCTTTTTCAGAAACGCGAAGAGTTTGTGCTCATCGAAACTACTTCACAACACATTTGTTTTTAAAATGTAACACCTTGATACATAGGCTTTGTACCAAAATGTACACTGAAATAATAAGAACCCAATACGACAATAATAAACCGATATCATTACCCATACAAATATAATGCTACATATAGGATTTCTTTTTATATATGTAGACCGACACTAAACTTAATTTTGGACGTCATGTTAATACTGCCATTTTTATGTACTGAATGTTTCAAATAAATGTAAACCGTTCAATTCGGCATAAACTGCAAAGAAGAAGCACTCGCGGGAGTTACTGTAGAGCTAGGTATAGTAGATGTTGTAGTTTGAGGTGTCATAAATTTTGGAAACTTGACCCCTCTCTCCTCCAAAGAAATCTGGATCGGACTTTCCTTTTATTCTTTTGTTTGTGTTAACAAATGTGGAAAAGCTTTGCTGGACAATGTTACGCACGTATTCTCATCTGTGTTTTTTTTCAAGCGCCAAGTTTTGTTTCAGTTTCATAAGGTACTTGCTCACATTTTTGACAGTTGTAGATGCGTCGTAAAATTGCTTTTTCGCGACATCGGGCTTATCAAAATCATTTTAAACCTGTGACCCTTCGCGCATGCCAAGTTCACAATTCCGTTTTGTATGTCCTAGTCTCATGATCATATGACACTGTTCACACTGAGCTTTAGTTTTGCTAACCTTTAAATTCGGATTGGTGCTTTTGTTTTCTTCAAAGACTTGATGTGTTCCTTAGCACTATCAAATTCCACACTTTTACCGTGAACTTCATCTTCAAGCTCATCCATTAACGACTGGTTTTGAGACCTGCAAACATTCTTCCGTAACTGACACTTACTGTCCGACTGAAGTGCTTCAACGGGATCTCTCCTGGATTCGAATAAGCATTTCGGTTCCATTACATCCCCTTTATCCATTGAAAACCTACTAAATTTGGGAGAGCATTCCGTATACTAAAGGTATATTGTTCTATTGGGAAAAAGAGGCAGGTATAATTGAAATAATAATTGTCAGGAAATAAAATAAAAATACATTAAAGTATAATCACAATGTCATAATTGTTAAAACACAATTTAAAAAAAGAGGCAGACGAAACCAAGGAGTCAAATAATAAGCCTCAAGTCGAAGAAAAAAGAGACACCATTGGCGAGATATAAAATCTACAATTTATAAAAAAAAAACAAAGATTGAGCAATATTAACCCCATCAACAACCAGGGGTATCATCAAGTGCTTAAAAAAGGTAAGCATATCTTGCTCACCTAATGATATCCGTCGTGTTGGCAAAAATCTGTTCATTAAATTTTTAAATGCTTGAAATCAGAGTATGTCTATTATTTTTTTTTTTAAATGTTAAGACATTTGATGAGTCAGACAAAAATATATTAAAACATATCAACCACTCGAAGATTGATAAAAAGTCATTCCTTTTACTGTTCACGGAAACAAATGTAAATAAAATTGTCAGATGTTTCTTTTTATTCCCGTAAAATCAGTCTGTTTGTCAGTTGGAAATTTCCCGCCCATCGAAAAATTTTAAGCGGATCGAATATGGCAGCAAAGAATAATAGTTACGGTCGTGAATATTTAACAAGAAAGGATACCAAGCGAGACCTTAGAAGTTTAATTGTACAAGTAAAGAAGCTGGGGCAAACTTTAAAACTGGCGAAGTACTTAGAGGAATTTACGTCAAAATTGCCATCAAATTTATTATCAATAGACAATATCTACCAAATTTTTTGAAAAGTTATGTCACAGAAGGCTTTATCTCAGAGAAGAGAAGGAACACATTTTGCTTGTTAAAAATAAATAAAAGAATCAGACATTAGATTAATCGAATCTATTAAGAAAGAAAATCCCTCAATTACAGCAAGGGAATTGAAGGACAAGTTGCTTCGTTTTTGCGAATGATAATATCTATATAGATGTGTCCACTATTTATCGCACCATGTCCAGAGATCTTTATTTTACATTTAAAAGCCGTCCGGCCGGAAATAGATTTACACCGGGAAATAGGAGATATAACAAAGCGTATTTAGACTTTTGCCTAACTAAAAGGCCACATCAAATCAATTTCATGACCGAGAGCGGTTTCAGGTTGATCTATGCAAACAGAAGCTATGGTCAATCACAAAAATGGAACAGTGTATATATCGAAGAAGGGAGATTTATTCCAGTTGTTTGACTAAATGTTTTGATTGGACTTAACTGCGTTCTATACTACAATTTTGTTAACGGTCCATCAAATACATAGCGTTATCTTAATTTTTGGTATGCGGCAAGGTAAACACAGGCCTGTTTTTGGCGACTGATTTTTTTCCCAATGATATCATAATTGTTGGTAATTGCGCTTTCCACACCCACAAAGCCGAGAGAATCCTTAATTTTATACAAGAACAAGAAGGAGGTTAAGCTAGCTATAAAACCAGGTTCAACCAACTTTTCTTCGGAAAATGCCTGTACAAAGACAGGAATATAACAGTTGTTTTCCATTTGTTCCGTTGGTTGTTGTACCTTAATAGCCCTATATCTCGTATCTAACATAAGCTAAAAGAACTCAAGGAATTTGTTTTTGTCCCGGCTGATAAGGCTGCCAATAATATCATTATTGTTTGACGTAAATTTTACATTGAGGTTCTGCATACGGAAATCACGAATTTACCAACATTCCAACTGACTCCATTTTCGGAAAAATGACATATGTAACAAACATAAACTTTTAGCTACCTCTTTACAAGCAGAACCAAATACAATGAAAGTTCCAACTATGTACTGGCTTCCGAAGCTGCACAAAACACCTTACAAATAAAGATTTATTTCGTCTTCAAGCCATTGTCCCACTACTAAACTGTCTATTCCACTTACTAGTAAACTTGGTACAATCAAAAATCTGGTAATAAATTGTTCAAATAAGGCCTATAAAAATAGTGGAATTAATTACTTTTGGAATGTCAAAAATTCGTTGGAAGTACTTGATTAATTGCATGCTTATATTGGTGATTTCGAATCTGTTCAAAGTTTTGATTTTTCTACCCCATTTACCACTTTGCCTCATAATCTCATTAAGAAAAAAATCACACATCTAATTAAATAGGCATTTAAAAAGTCAGAATGTGAATATATATGTTCAAACTCTTTTAGGTCATTTTTTAGTAACAACGGACCTGCTTTGATACGATAACTGCACTTGAATTTTTACTAGAAAACATTTTTGTTTGCTATGGAGATTCCGTATATCGTCAAGTTGTGCACCACTTATTGCGGACCTGTTTCTGTTTTGTTACGAGTTACAATTTATGACTAAAATCAGCAAAGACCCATCGAAACAATATCTGATACAAAAATTTAATAACACTTTTAGATATTTGGATGATATATTAGCTCTCAACAATGACGACCTCAGTATGTACACGAAAGGGATTTATCCTGCTGAACTGACTTTAAATAAAGCTAATACTGACAATGAACACTGTCCTTTCTTGGATCTTGATATCTATATCTTTAACGGGAAGCTTAATACCAAAATTTACGATAAAAGAGATGATTTTTCATTTCCTATTGTTAATTATCCATTTTTAGATGGTGACGTTCCCTTGTCACCATCTTATGATATCTCAACTTGTTCGATTCGTTCGTGTATGTAACAATGTATTTGATTTTAACGAAAGAAATCTCTGTGTTACTGAAAAATTATTACACCAGGGTTTTCGATATCACAAACTAGTCAAAACATTTACTAAATTTTATCATCGTTCAAGGACATCATTCGTAAATATGAATCAACATGCAGACATCTTATACGATCAGGTATTTCACATCCAATCTTTTATGGTAATATTCTAAATAAAGCACAAAAATGTCAGCATTCACCTCAAAGCTAATCAAACCTTTAAACAGACTTATTCAGAGGGGATATAGTTACGATACTGTTGTCAGGTCATTTAAGATGGCATATCTTGGAATTAATATTGATTCACTCATAGGGTCTTTGCATCGGAAATAAACACATTTATTCTAAAACCAGTTGTTGGCATGATACGGGTTATGTTCTTCTCATTTATTTTATGATGTATGATACTAAACCCCTAACGGGAGGGATTGTGCTTGATGAAAACTTAATCTTTCAATCAGTTAAATTGAGGTCTGGAGCTGGCATGTCAGTAACTGCTAGTAGTCCTTTGTTAATTTTTATCATTATCATTTTGCTTAGTTTCTTCTGTTACCTATTCTTACATCGGACTCGGACCTCTTTTTAACTGAGTTTTACTGTGCGTATTGCTGTGTGTTTGTTTATTCTACATTGGCTAGAGGTATAGGGGAGGGTTGAGATCTCACAAAACATGTTTAACCCCACAGGCATTTTTGGCCTGTCCCAAGTCAGGAGCCTCTGGCCTTTGTTAGTCTTGTATGTTTTTTGTTCTAAATTTTAGTTTTATTATATGCTTCGGAGTTTAGCGTGACGTCTATTTTCACTGAAATAGTACACATTTTTGTATAGGGGCCAGCCGGATCCCACCTCCGGGTGCGGGATTTTCTCGCTGAGTTGAAGACCCATAGGTGACCTTGGGCTTTTTTTTTGCTCTTTGGTCGGGTTGTTGTCTCTTTGACCTGGGAACAGTATTTCTGACAATATATATGTTCCTGCTTTGACACATTCCCCATTTCCATTCTCAATTTTAACGTTCGATTATGTCATTTTGTATGGGCATCCCCCTTTTAGAATTTACCCTCGGGTTCGGTAGTTTTGTTAATAATTTTTTCATATGCAAGGTACTGAGTATGGGTTTCTACCAGTAAATTCACCCGACCAGAACCCCGTTGAAATGTGCTTTTCAAAACTAAAAACTATTATAACACAAACAAATTTTAAGAAACTTTTTAGCCAAAACCTTAAGTTATTATAGCAGTTATTAAGGCAATTCAGGATATAAACAAGTCCGATAATAAATGGATTTTATAGGAATAATGGATATTTAAATATTTAGCGGTTTTTTGTTTCATTGTAACGGGGAATTTTTATAATAAATTGTTTTGAAGATAGAGTTTGTACATGAATCTATACAAAAAGGAAGTAAGCTTTAATTTTGTATCTGTCTGTCAAAAGTCATGAGCCTGTAATTCAGTGGTTGTCGATTGTTGCTGTATATCATACATGTTTTTCGTTGATTGTTTTGTGCATATATCAGGCCGTTAGTTTTCCGTTTGAATTGTTTTGCATTTGTCATTTCGGGACTTTTTATAGCTTACTATGTTGTATAAAAATAAGGAGATGTGGTATGATTGCCAATGAGACAACTATCCACCAAAGTTCAAATGAAGTGGATGTAAGCAATTATAGGCAACTGTACGGCCTTCAACAATGAGAAAAACCCATACCGTATGGTTGACTATAAAATGCCCCGACATGAAAAATATGAAACAATTCAATTGAGAAAACTAACGACCTAACTTATAACAAAACAGTTTACGATAAACAAATATAACAGACATGAACCAACGAAAACTACTAAACTACAGGCTCCTGACTTGGCACAGGCACATAAAGAATGTGACGGGGTTAAACATGCTTTTGAGCGCTAAATCCTCTCCTAACCTGGGACAGTGGTGTAACAGTACAACATAAGAACAACTATAAAAATCAGTTGAAAAAGGCTTAACTCATCAGATGGATACAAATAGAAATACATCTAACAAAAACACGAAGTGAACGTGGACGGGTACTTATACATCCCAAAAACAAAATGTCACTAAGTACAGATCTGAGAGTACTCGCAGTTACTGACAGCATGTTCAATGCCAATAACAACTAATGAAAACAATCATGTATCTAAGACTAAAATATCAATCAGTACACATCCATCATCCAATGGATTTAGTGTAAAGACGTCATTAACAGTCAGAAAAAAACATGACCTTATGCAATGCTAAACTATAAGTATCGACAGATAGTAGTACCGTGAAAGTACATATGTGTAATATTTAGAATGGTTTTAATTCACTGATTTAAATACATCGTTGAATAGGTAACCTTTTAGAATAAGTTTATTTAAAGGATTGATAAGTTTACCCGGATCGTATCTAAATTTTCAGGCTCGGTTTACAACATCACCGTAAAATTTAGGATGTGCTATTTCGTTTGAAATAAGTTATTATAATCAATTTACCTACATTAATGTTTAGGGTAATTAAAGCAGATGATTCAGAACCATGGGCAACACAATTCGTAGCAGATATATCAACTGGTACAAATACTGTCTAGTACTAGACAAGCACTCCATCCACTACGATAGTAAAAGAGCCGTACAAGTGCCATCTGAAGAAGCTGGTCATATTGTTAAGCGTAAGAGAAAGTCCACAGAGACTCAATGCCAATACAGAAAGAGGAGGGTTGCAGAAATGCCATCTGAAGAAGAAATAGACAATACCAATGCTGATGATACAGCAGCTATAACAGCAATGTCAATATAAAATTCACTAAAATATACTATGAGTTTTGGAAAGAGAGCACTAGAGCTGAAAGAAAAGATAGAAGAAAATAAAGAGTTTGTTGAAATGATGGGACAGTACTGTTCCCTTAAGAAAAACAAAACAGAAGATTTAAAACTTTCATTGATGACAATCGCAGTGTATCATCATTTAAACATACAATATATATGTCTAATCATTCCTTATAAAATTGTCATGTCATATGTTAATTTCATTATACATATTTATGTGACACCTTTAATAAATTTAAAGATTAATTACCTATATGCATTGTTTATTTAAAAAAAAACACATTACTGGTACAATACTGGTATACAATACTGGTACAAAACGTTTATACCAGTATTGTGCACTGGTACAATACTGGTATACAATACTGGTACAAAACTTTTATACCAGTATTGTGCACAATACTGGTATAAAAGTTTTGTACCAGTATTGTATACCAGTATTGTACCAGTATTGTGGTTTTTTTACGCTCATTAAAATCCAAAACGTCACTACAAACACGAGCATAGCGAACGAGTTTGGATATATAAACATCATGAGACGGTGCCAAAGGAACATCACCGTCCAAAAAGGGAAAGTTAACAATATGGAAAGAAAAATCATCCCTTTTGTCGTAAATTTTTGTGTAGCGTTTCTGGTGTAATACTGAAATATCTAAATCTAGGAAAGGACAGTTATTGCTGTTGATATTAGATTTATTTAAAGTAAGTTCCTTTGGGTAAATTTCAGCAGTATAGGTAGAGAATTCTTGATTATTTAACGAAGAATATATTCAAGATAACGGTAAGTGTTGTTGAATTTATCAATTAAATGGAATTTAGACGGTTCTTTACTGAGTTTGTGTGGGTTTTACTCATAGTTGAAGGCCGTAAGGTGACCTATAGTTGTTAACTTCTATGTTATTTGGTGTCTGGTGCAGAGTTGGTTGTCTCATTGGCAATAATACTACATCTCCTCTTATTTTTATAGTGTCGTTTGACACTAGCCTATTCCATTAGCATAATGAGTAGACGTCTTTTAACTTTACAAAAAAATATATCTAACACGCCATACATCAAATAATAACATGAACTGGAATATTTTTCCTAATATTTTCTTGCAAACTTGTAGATTCCTGTTTTTCTATATCTTTAAAACGTCGAACTTGTGAAATGAAATAAAAAAAACTAGATCTCATTGAGATGGGAGCCATCTCTGTGGGCCCCGCTGTGAATAATGTGCGTTAAAAAAATTGTATCTTACCATAGGACATGGGGTTGTGAACTGAAACCAAAGTTTTTGACCTTGACCTTTGACCTAGGAAGTTGTACATAAATTATGACACACCCTTTGGTATTGGTTAATATACATGTCAAGTATAAACTTTGAAATCATAACGGTTCTCTAGATATAGAATGGACACAATTTGTTACGGACGGTCGGACGGACAGACAATCTATTTCAATTCATGCTGTCCGTCTTACATTTTATAAAAATCTTAAATTAGGTTTTAATTGATTCGAACTCTATATCGCCAAAGGAAGACAAAAACGAATGTTATATGCCGCTTTAACAGAATTTCAACGTATAATACTTTAATTCAAGTGACATTAAAAATATACTTCCTACCTAACACGAAAAATGTGAACGTGAGTTGTGAAGTTCATTACGATCAAACGTAAATACTGTCTATAATAAATTAACCTTGAGAAAACCTTCTGATGTATGACGAGGTTTCTAAAAATAAATACAAATTTGCTATGTAGTAAATAAACGTTATCAGTAGAAAATAAAGTATCAAATAAAACATTTTTGTGTATGGTTATATTAACACTGAATTATAAAATAATCTTTGAGTAAAGTGATCATTAGTTTGGTGAAAGCATAACCAGGATGGTCATTTCATACGTCATCAAGTTACTTAATATAACTTCATCAATTTGATCAATATTATAGGGAAATCCATGATCTCTTAAGTACGGCGAAATTTTCACATATACAAATATTGCCGGAAATATCGTAAAGCATAGACAACAAATATGTATGTTTTAAGAAGCGTTTGTAGATGTGGTTTACACAGCCAGGGATTAATTAAACAAATAACAATGGGGAAACCTGTTTGGAAATCCAAAATGAACTCAGTTTCTTCAATACAGGTAAAGTATAAATATAACTTATACCTCTTTTTGTTTGATTATACACTTAAACGCTTTTTCATAAATGTTAAGCCTGAAACTCGCAACCTAAACCTCTCTTTCTTTCTCTCAATACCAAACAAAAATAAATGGAGAATGTGTCCCCATGGACACAGATGATGCCCCCGCTTGCATACAACATTATAAAGGGACATAACTCAAAAACAATAAAAGTGACGCTACCCAAATTTGTACTTGATCTGGGTTTTGTGGTAATAAGTATTGTGTATAGGTTTCATAATGTTTGGTTGGGGCAAACTTAAGTTACAGAACGGAAACTAAAAAATTTGCAATTTTTCGATTTACAAAGGGGCATAACTCGATAATGATTAAGTGACGCCATCAATATTCAACTTGATCTGTGTTTTGTGGTAAAAAGCATTGTGTATAAGTTTCATAAAAATTTTTTGAGGCAACTTAAGTTAGAGAACAGAAACTAAAAATTTTGCATTTTTTCCATTTATATTTGCCCTCCGCTACGGCGGGGGCATAAAATAGCATACCGTATTTCATTTGGATCATGACCATCTCATCCCTGCTTTTCTCTCTCTTTATATACCAAAACCAAAATACATTCTGTACTTTATTTGGAACTTGAACTTCTGAGCCGTGCTTTGTCCTTGATATTAGATTGGATATTCGTGTTTTAAAATTGTAATATGTATATGGGCTGTTAAGACGATTCATGCATCTTATCAATAAATTCAACATAGATACATGTACTAGGCTTAAAATTGCGTACACCAGATGCGCGTTTCGTCTACAAAAAACTCATCAGTGACGCTCGAATAAAAAAAGAAATTAAAAGGCCAACCTGTTCAATGGTTTAAGAAAACCTTAGTATTTAGAAAAAAATCAAAGTTTTGTAAACAATTAATTTATAGTTATAACCATATCAATGATAATTCATGACAGAATATGACAGTTGTTATCCATTCGTTTGATGTGTTTGGTTTTTTTTTTGATTTTGCAATTTGATTGGGACTTTCCTTTTTGAATATTCCTCGGTGTTCAGTATTTTTGTGATTTTACTTTTTCATGTAAGTCAAAGTACATTTGCACTTTAAATATAATTCGAATGACTGTGAATCCTTTGTGTTTATTGATTATTGAATAAATACTACAATGAAACACATAAAATGGTTAGCTGTAGCAGAGCATTAAGCCCTCAAAGACATTATAACCTTGGTACGTGAAGAACAATCAATACTTACATGGTGTTTTGCATGTTTACTTTACAGAAATTACGACATAACTAAACTACAATATTGAATGAATGGACTTTAATAAAAAGATATAACTTTTAATATCAATTTACGTAATTTTGAAATGTTATAACCTTATAAGGGCGACAGTGTAGTGTGATCTCTAATATGTATGTACAATATCATAACATGTACAATTAACTGCAACTGAACTACTAATAACTTTCTTCAGACTGGGGAATAGAAGTATGGTCACCATTGGTCTTCCTCCGACCGGCAGTAAAACCCGTGCTAAAGTGGGGCGTCCGTTTGGCTGTGCGGGATGTACAAATTTGCAGCCACGTCCGGTCAGAATGGGGACGTTAAATCCGATGCCTCGTGTAAAGAGAGTGCCACGCTCTGTGCACGTTAAGAACCCTTGCAACAACTCTTTGAGGGGTCCGTAGGTGACCTGTTGCAAGGCTAAATTTCTGTCCCTATCCAATATACCCTCATTTCCCGTGGCAGTCTAAATTTCTCCGTCCTTAATCCCTTAATCTATTACAGAACCTACCTATAGTATTTATTGTGAACTTGTTCTCGTCCTGAATATGCATGAAATATTTGCCACTGGACGTTAAGCAACCAACAATCAATCAATCTTCAGACTCGGCAAAGTGTTATGGTACATTGTTTGATCTTAAGCATAAAAGCATGAGTGGGAGAAAAAAAAGGAGTAAAGGTCAAAATGAAAACAACCACGAGGCAAACATGAAAACATCCAGAACAAATGAGCTGGTCCTTAACTATTATTAGACACATGAATGATGAAGAAAATTATGATAACCACCAGAGTAAATGTTGAAAAAAAACTATTCAACATATAGAAAAATCAAAAGTCTAGGTACATGTAGCTGCATTTACCAACATACCAAATAAATAGTTTTTAACAGAGCAGTCTTTTTGTCGTCTGTCTGTCTTAAATACAACTGGGGTTCTGGAATTAAATTTCAGATAAACTATTTAATAAAATTGATTGATTGCCCACTTGCAAATATTTCCTGCATATTCGGGACGAGAGAAAAAATACACAAATTCAATAGAGAAAATCTACTTTAGTGAATCGCAGGGCAAAATTTTTGACTTCCACTGGAAAATGAGGGTATGTTGGATAGTGCAGAATGTGTAGTACCATCCCTACACGAGGCTTCGGATTTAACATCCCCATTCTAAAAGCCTCTGACGTGGCTGTGTAGTTATATATCCCGTGCATCAAAACGATGCCTCTCTGTACTGTCGGATGGGATAAGTCTAGGGCTAACCGTATTTATATACTCCAGTCAACCCTTGTGGTTTATGTAATTTGACTTGAGTAGACTCATTCAAATAACAGCATGTCTTCATTCAATTTTAATTCCTGATGTGTAAAAGTCTACCTTCATAGTCAAATAAAGTATCCTCGTCATCAAATGTTTAAGGCCATAAGTCACAATTCCATTATCAGTACCCAACCTAATCGATCTTACTAAAAATATCTGTATACTGTAACATATAAAAAAAGCCCTATAAAATTGCGTGGACAGCTTTTTATTTTCGTACATATGTAAGTGCTTCTGTCAAATTTACTTTCACTGTAACAAAGTCAAACGAGATCAGTAATGTATCAATATACAAACAACTACATATTTAAATCAGCATCAGTGTGTTTTTCGTGAGGTTTTTAAAGATCATAATTCGTTAAAAGGGTATGTCAGTTCTAGAGAATCGGAAACTCGTAACTGATAAACAAGTTAGGATTCGCCCCATAAAAAAAAACTATGAGAGCGAGGGAATTGATTATACTTTTATGGCTTCGACCAAATTGGTTCGAGGGGATGAATGTTAGTATTTTATCTAGTGATAAGAGTAAACTTCAATCTTGTTCCATTTGGGTTGGTATAGAAAATATTAGTTTTTCTTTATTTTAATGTTTTGAAGGGAGTATATGTCCAAGTAAGGAATTTAGCTACAAAGGACGAGGTTGACGAAAACGTGAAGAAATTCAGATCTGGAAATTATGAAACAATCCCAGACCCTCAACGTTTGCAACACTTCAAGTACGTATCTGCAAATCATAAACAAGTAAAAAGTGTCTGGTGCTTGGAAATTTTAAAAGGTGAAAAATTGAATTAAGGGTTTGTTATGGTTATTGCTCGCCCGCGTAATGCAGGTCTGAAGTATAAAATAAGCAGCTTCGCTTACGACCTTCTTGCGAAATTGATGCCAGAATAAAATGAATACTTAAAAGACAGCTCGGAAGTTATTAAATGCGTTTGTAGAAAAACTAACGTGAGGATATTATTCGTTGTATGACTTTTGTCTTAAATATGATTGTTAAAAAGTCACACAACTCTGGAACGAAAAACCAGAAACTTCCAAAATCAAAAGCAAGCCTGCATTCACAAATCCCAACAACAGTGTAAGGTTTGTAGTAATTAAATCCAAAAATATTATAGCTGTTTCGTGCACGTGACATGTTAAAAACTGCTTTAAATTTGACGATTAAAAGTACCATAACTCTTGAATGACAAATGAAAAAATTCAAAATCAAAAGGTAATTTACTTTCACCAATTTCAACAACTGTGTAAAATTTCCAATAAATCTATCATAGCATACTCAAATCAGGACACATGTGAAAAGTTTACTTAAATCTGAAAGTTAACCGTAAATACAGTTCAACATACCAGAAAATTTTCAAAATAAAAAGGGGGATTCTATTTATTTTGAGTGTAAAGTTTTGAGGAAATCCATCCAAACATACTGGAAATAGTGCGTGATATGTGAAAATGTTCAAGTATTATGATCAATAAAGTCCGATTACTATGGAATAACAAAAATAAAAATCCTGAAGATTGATGCAAAGTTACTTTGATATATTCTAGTCCTGTGATGCAATTTCAGTGAAAAGTAGCACAGCAAAGTTGAGTTATCATTGTACAACATTTATAACTATCAAATTTTCCATGAATTAAGTCCTTTAAATCTGGATGACAAAATTTGAAATTATCAAAATCGAAATGGACCATTCTTCAGTCAATCCTAATGTAGTTTTAACGAGTGTTGGTGAAAGCAAATTTGAGTCATCGCAAGAAGTGTTGACATGCAGACGGACGGACGGACAACGGTTTACCATAAAAACGTCTACGCGAAGTTAGTATAGATTGCGTGCCAACTTGCACTAATTAAAGTAAGATGCTTATAAATATCATACAGGTACTCCTACAAATCATTGAGAAGTAAACTTACATGAACCAAAATTGTTTTTAATCAATCAACAATAATGCTTTTCATTAAATAGAAAAAGCCATGGAAATGATTCAACAATACCAAAAGATGAAACTCCTCCAATTGGAGCAAATGCGTTGCCTCATCCAATATGGTAAGGTACCAAGATTGATATACTGTATTATAAATGTGTTACGTTAGTATTTGATACATCAGTTTACATGAAAGTGTACATCATGGGGGGGGGGGGGGGGGGGGGGGGGGGGGGGGGGGGGGGGCAGGAGGATTTTGAAAATAAATAACTCAGACTTGATAATCACAAAAATAAATGGTTTGTTCTGTGGTAGTTTGAAAATAAATAACCTGACTTGCAATGTATTAAAAATAAATAACTCGGCAGGTCTATTTGAGAGCATGAGATTGCACCAGATTCTTCATAAAATTCAACTTTTTTTTCAAAAAAAATCGGGAATCACTTCCCAAATCTTTGAATAATAAAAGTATAAATATTATTTAAAATACTTGAAATGTCTGAAAAATGGGTTTCATTTAACTTGAGGTATATTGTCTCAGGAACACTTAACTCACTTTTATTACATATGACAGTAACTACATTCAGGCAAATGCCTCATGTAGGAAATTTCAAAACCATAAGCTTGTCTTCATATCTATCAAATTGTTTTTCACGGCAAGTGTCTTGCAAGAAGCAAGTTCTGTTCTTCCTCAGACGTAGCTCCTGTGTTTTGGGGATCAATGTTTTCTTATTTATTTGTCTTTTGTTCATTGATTGCCCTTCTGTATTCTGTTAGTGTTGCATTCCTTTTGTAATTTAGTAATTTTGTTATTAACTTGATCAAGAGTTTAAAAAAAAACAGAAGCCACATACATGTACTTAACTATGTGAATTAAATTTTTGCTTTATCTTTGTCTTTTGATGTTGTTCCTATAAACTTAAGTCTTACACTGAATCTATACATGTTGCTTTGAGACCAAAATATTGTCAAAAAATGATTGAAACAGCACTTTCATTTTCAGATTAAGAAAGGGTATGGGAAGCACATTTTGCATCATTAGTTCTATAGCAACTTGGGGCCTTCAGCGGCTCCAAAACCCTTCAAATTTTTTTTAGCCTCGCTCCGCTCGGCATAAATGATTTGCAACACTTTTAAAAGACACTAATTACAGCCAAACTTTAATATCTTGTATGTATGCAATACATGTATATGCAGTTGGGAATTCAGAAGATTCATTTCTACAGATGATGATGATTAATTCTGATTAAATGGTACATAATGATTGGACTATTCATGTATTATTTATAATAAAAAATGAATTTAAAAATTGTATGTTTTCAAATATTATAAATATAGTTGGAAAATAAATAATCAGTCCCTTGCTTTAATGAAAATGAAAAATCTTGCTTCAACAGTGCAGAAAATAGATAATCTGTCCTCTTAGTTTACAAAAGTAAATAACCGATCAAAAAACAAATCCTCCTGCCCCCCCCCCCCCCCCCCCCCCCCCCCCCAGAATATCAAATGGTCTTCCCCTTAGTATCCTTCGCCTCTCTTTTTTCTCAAAATGTCCATCGTAACTAGTCTACTCAGTCATTCTCGCTATACCTTTAAAAAACTAGGTGTGTCTAGAATGTCCGGAAAAAAAAATTAAGAGCACAGGAGCATTAAAAGACATTGGTATTTTGTAGATGACCTATTATACTGTAAAACTAATGAGGGGAACTTTTGATATACTGAGTGGTTTCAACAGAGGGGAAAGAAACGAACGCAAATGGGTCCTGTGAGTATTCTTATCTGCAAAAATATCCATTTGCTAATTAAATGAGAGTTTCATTGTTGCTTGCTTGGCATTTATTTCATGCGCATTCAGGACTAGAAACCAGTAACAATTATAATACAATAGAAAAGTATGGGAAATTTGGACTGCTGCTGACAAAAAAGGGTATTTTGGATGGGAGCAGAAATTTAGCCTTTGAACAGGCTCCCTACAGAACGCCAAAAGAGTTGTCGAAAGTTCTTTTAAGGAGCAGAGAGCGTTGCATTCTCTCTACACGACGCTTCGGATTTAACGTCCCCATTCCGACCGAATGTGGCTGCGTATTTATACATCCCAAATAATCGAACGGACGCCTCACTTTGGCAAAGGTTATATTTATGTTAAAATGAGTTACATAGGATTGAACTTTTTTACAAATACATTTATCATTATTTAGACAACTGAAAACATACAATTAACTCTTTTTAATAGTTAAGAATGTAGTTACAAGTTAAGGTTTTAATGACTTCATGATGTAAGAGGCATTGTGGAAAGACGAATTTGACCGTTGGGAATAGTATACGGACCTTATTAGTACAGAGCATAGTAAAGCCTTGTATCTTACGTGTATGGTTTGTATTGTTATCTGCCTCAATGCATACACATCACTGTCGAACTATATAATAATACGCATATCGACGCAAAAAGTGCGTGTGTTAAAAATACTAACATTGTATGGAAAATGTTTTACAGAACATTTTGTTCATTACAGACGAATATGTTTCCTAGAAACAGTTGCGGGTGTCCCGGGTATGTTTTATATGCAGTCACACAACATCTCTTTATTATGTATTACTGAGTAACTAGACAAACTTGATAGCTAATGTGTATTCAACTTTCAGCCATAAAATGTCAGTTCGTAAATTTTCATATAAGTGTATAATTTGAATTGCTCAGGACTGTATTTAGTTTCAAACATATAAGTCATTTGTTTTAATGCTCCATAGTAGTACCATTCCCTCACTTCATGTCATTATTTCCTAGTGTACTTTTTCCAAGATTTGCATAGTTTTCATATAAGTTTCTCCGCTCGTTTTACTGTCAAAAGACAAGTCTGGTCCAAGAGGTGGCATTATAACGTGGGTGCATTGTACAGATTATTCGTAATATGAGCGAATAGTTAGGCAGAAAAGTGAGAGAGCAGTTTTGAATAGGAGCCAATCACATGATTTGCGTAGAATTCTATCCTTCTAAATTATCAAAATTGAATGTTATTCAAATTAACATCCTTTATTTATTCAGAAGAAGCAGAGAATGAAAGAATGCACCTTATGACAGCATTACAGCTACGTAGACCAACAAAGATATTTAGATTGGGCGTGGTTGTATCACAGGGTAAATATACTGGTATTCAGTGCTACTTAAGAAGCAATTGCACGATATTTAAAAAATACACGGAAAACAAAAATAATAATTGGCCGGTCGAGGAAACACTCACAAATGACAAAACAAAAATTAAGCATCCAACCCTCGAAATGAAAGAAAAAAAAACCAATAAAAGAAACTAGGGCTCTCAAGAGCCTGTGTCGCTGACCTGGACCAATGTGCATCTTCAACAATGGTCACTCTCCAACATTGAAGACTGGAATATAATTCATGACTTAAATCTCTTTTTTTTTAATCGTGTATTGTTGATCATTTGCACGTAAAGTTGTCTTTTAGGGAATTAACTCGATAAAAAGTCGTCCAATATTGGCTCATTCGAAATCTTGCCTTGTGAGATGATAGGCAAAAACGCTGTTATAAAATGATAAGCAATAACGTTATTTAAGGTCAATACCTTTTTTTTTTTTTAAAGTCAACGGACGATTTTGGCCAATCTGACTTTTTAGTAGATATTGTCTTTCTGGTCATTTTTTAGTCCCCTACCGACAAAGTCGAAGGGGACTTTAGGTTTGCACTCTGTCCGTCTGTCCATCCGTCAGTCCGGCAACTCAGTTTTCAACACTTTTTTTCTTCGTTAATGAAGATATTGATTTGATATTTAGTATATAGTTTTATCATGACAAGTTACAGATCAAGTTCGAATTTTATTCCGGTCTGATGATTTAGTCCAGAATTATGGTCCATAAAAAAACTTAATAACTAATGTTAGAGTACTATGTTAACCCATAATATCTGTACAAAGGGAGATAACTCATTTATATGTTATTTTGTATAAACTAATTTTCTGAATGCTACATGTATATATATATATTTGAGGTAAATTATATGGCCTTTCCGTTCATCCGTTCCAGTCAGCAGGGTTTAAGAACATTTGTTGTTCGACCTGTTAGTCAAATGCGTTTTGTTAAAATATACTTTTTCACTTTTTTGGTCTTTTGGAAAATGTTGTTTGTGCTGTATTTAGACCCCTCTACCAAGAAATTTGTTTTGCATGCACACGTATAAAAATTGCGGTTTTTATCCAACGCAATCATAGGATTGAACGTTGTTTTCAATTTAGACTTGTATATATATATATATATATATATATACAAGTCTAAATTGAAAACAACAAGTCTAAATTGAAAACAACGTTCACGTATAAAAATTGCGGTTTTTATCCAACGCAATCATAGGATTGAACGTTGTTTTCAATTTAGACTTGTATATATGCAAAATATATATATATATATATTATTAAGTGAAATCCTTTAATTAGATAATAATCTATTTTTATTAAGGTATATATTTCATTACATTACATTGTGTAGATACAAGTTATTGACATTTTATAGATAAGTTACAAATCTTTATTAGTTTGTGACAAATGAAAGAAAAAATATTTGGAACTATTAATTATATTTGATTGTAATTTGAAATTAGATATACATTGTATTACGTCATATCTAATTTTAGAGAACTATTAATCATATCTAATGTTAGAGTGTTATAGGTTTTCCTCACTTTTTTTCATCATGCTTGAAGATATTGATTGACAATTGGTATACAGTTTTATCATGACAAGTTACAGATCAAGTTTAAATTTTTGTTTCGGTCTGATAATTTTGTGTAGAGTTATGGTCCTTGGACTTGAAAAAATTCACTCATATTCAGTTTTCCACACTGTTTTTAGTCATGCTTGAAGATATTGTTCCATTTTTAGCCATGTTAGCCATTTTTATTGGGAGGGGGGTCATTGGACACTATATTTAAACCCAATTACCCCAATAATGATTTTGGCAAAGTTTGTTTAAAATTGGCCCGGTAGTTTCAGAGAACATTTTTGTAAAATTAACGGACGACGAACGCAAATTTTCAAAAATAGTTAAGGACAATTATTTCTATTTAAAAATGATTTTTTTCTATCTTCATAATCTGACAGGTCGATAAATCAAATTTTGACTATTTTCAATGTTAAACCTCTAAGGATGATTTACTAGTTCATGCTCAAAATGACTCTGTACCATGTTCCTAGATACATGCCACTGTCGTAATCTACATACAAACTAGCAGACTGAGTCAATCTTTGATGAAAGCAAACGTTAGTAAGTTTAAATGGATGAATTAAAAAAAACATTTGAAGAAATATCGTTACGACATTAGACAAGTTACGTGAGTTACATGATGTATATACATCTAGTTTGTCAAAGTTTTAAAGCTGTACATTAAAATGTATTGCCTACATGTATTACGTTTGCTTGAATTTTATTTATAAAATTAAGCTTCATAAACGGTTTACAAAAAATCAATCATGTTTTTACTTTTTATGAACCAAATCTTAAAAAACTGAATGCAAGGCTTTATAAGCATTAAAACTATTATATTTGACTTACAGATGCTTTTGTTACCATGTTTAGTTTGGCTTATTTAATAAGTCCTAGATTTTGCCACAGATTTGTTGGATACTTGGAAGAAGAAGCAGTAATTACATACACTAAATGTGTGCAGGTAAAATTTACATGTACTTTTTCATCTTAAATGAAAATCTTTGGTCTTCTCTAACCTCATATATAGTTGCCTCAGATATGTTTGGTTTCATCAGTTTTCCCTTCTTTTTATTGTAAAATTTTATGAGAATCAAATGATATTAAAAATCTAACGAAAAAAATACAACTAAATAATAAGGAACAACTTTATTTATAGAAATGTAACGATGCGCAAAAAAATAATGTGTTTGTGTATGTTGTAAAACATTTTTACATGGTCTTCTTGCAGGATATACATCATGGTTCCATGCAACACTGGAAGACACAATCGGCTCCAGAATCTGCTATTACTTACTGGAAATTACCGGTATGAACTTTTACGCATAGTCATGTCTACCTGTAACAGCATGTAACTTGGTATTATTCTTAATTAAATCCATAAACACAATACATATATAGTCGACATTAGCGGTAGCATTTCCCCAGTCAGATTGTAGAAATGTGCAATCCCATTTTGTGTCATCTGTCAAATTCAATACTTTTAACTTGTGGTGAGAATGTCGCACTCTTCGCCACGGAAAGCAACAAATCAGAGGATGCCGTTTATAACATGTGTTTACTCTTCGAATATCATTTAAAAGTATCTGCTCCTACTCCATGGACACTATTATTAACTGATTTACTGTTACCCTTTTTCATTTCCTTGATCAATATTTTCTGCTAAGAATTAAACATTCAACTATCAATCAATCAACACAACGAAAAGTTTATGAAACGTCATGATCTGTAGGATTTGTTTTTATTATTATTTGCATCTATTTTAGGATAATGCCAAGATGTTAGATGTGATCCTTGCTATTCGTGCAGATGAGGCTCACCACCGGGTGGTCAATCACACACTAGCTTCATTAAAAGAAGATGACTACAATCCATATAAACCAGGAAAATGATAGCTAATACTATTATCGTGTTAAGTTGACCAATAAGATATCCAGACATGTTAGTTCTCGCCATCTGTCATTTTAAGGAAATAAAATGGTTTGAAAAAAGAATTGCCAGCCAGAATGGTTAGTCATGGACCGCATTAAAAAACAGACAGATTTTTATACAAATGGATTTCAATCGTTTTTCTAATGTCTTTATGGCTTTTTTGTAAAAATACTCAGACTTTTTTCCTCCGTAATCTATGGAATCAAATGTTAACAACAATCTAGTACTCCAATGTACTGTATCTATATAGACGTTTTATAAATTAAATCATTGTAATAAATGTTTTATAATCAACGTTATGTTAACGTTTTTCATGTATGTCCTGTAAAAACAATGGTTGTATCTGTTGAATTTGATTTTATATGTAAACAATCGTTTCGATAAAAGCCACAGTACGGGAAAGCACTGAATTTTTAAACCCTATCATTTCAATATTGTTTGAAACATGTTTTTTTTTGTTATGGGTTATTTGTTTTTATGAAGTTGTAAACAATAAAAAAAAAATGAGAAAGATGCTTTCAATAAGACTTGTATAAAAATATAATTTGTACATTATTATAGAAAAAATGCCCAGTCTTAAATGTACCACAAACTGATCAGATTTGTCGTGTGTAGGCGATTGGAGTTAACAATATTACGATATATTTATGTCCGGCTATGGCAATTGTGGACTGGGTGGTCCATTATTTGTGTTGAAGCTGAATGTACTACAATTTAGACTTTTGTAGCTTGCTAAATGGTATGGATTGTTTTATAGTTTACCTCCTCGTCCCATGGTCCATATTTGTCTTTGAGTTAGTGGCAATCATATCGCATTATATTGTTATATTACAGCCTTTACAAAAAAGAAATTCGATGTCCAGTACGACTTAATACGCTTTGAAAAAGTGGTAAGGTAACTTACTCAGATCTTAAATCAGAACGGGGCCATTTTGTAGATAAAGTGGAAACCTAATTTGCATAATGATCTATAGTTTCAACCAAAATCCCTGAAACTTCAAAGATTGCACTTATGTTGAAGCTGTACGCTTGCTATTATGAAGCGGGGATTTTTAAAACTTTTTCTAAACTTTGGAACTTGGTCTTTTTCATCAAAGATACTAAAGACAGTACCTTCTACAGTTCGTAAGCCAGATCCCTGAAACTTTACCGCGAATGATTGCACATATTTTGCAATTGTGGACCTACTATAAGGGAACTGTTTGAAAATTTCCCCCAGTTTTTCCTGACTACGGAACTTAAGTCATTTCTTCAGCGAAACGTTCCATAGACAATAGACAAATCCGTGTTTTACCCAGAGCTTTCGAAATTCACTGACAGTTTGTAATCCTATTGAAGTTGTGCACCTCCCAATATTGAATTGTTTACAGATTTTTTTCTTCTCATTTCTATATTTTTTTTTTTTAAATGATCAATAAAGTCCTCTATTGTTTAAGAAAAATCTCGCCCATTTAAGTCTTAAATTTTGAGAAAAGTCTATCAATCTAAACTAAAATTCATAGTATCAAAACTCCATTTGTGTACTTTGAGGTGCTAACAATATTGTAGACTATTATTAACAAATCGTAAAGAGGTGAAAACAGCTCAAGACCATTTTCTTTTACAGATTAAGGCAAATGTTGGTGTGTTTCCCATGTTTTTTTTGTTGTTGGTTTTTTTTTTTGGGGGGGGGGGGGGTCGTAAGGTTCAGACTTTTCCTTAAAGGGTTTTGTAGACTTTTGCTCGTCTTTTCATCGTTTTCTATTTTTTGCCATGATATTGTCGCTTTTTCTCTGACTTATTATTATTTTTTTTTTTTTTATTGTCCCTTCGGTATTTTCAGCCCATTTTTAATATGTTTTACTATAACCAAAAGCATTTTAGTTAAAAGATATCTTTAACCCCCAGTATTACAAAATTTTATCACAAATATAGAGATTGATTCACATGCACATGTCTCTGAAATGTTTTTTTTACCCACACACCTTCAAATAAAACCAGGTACTCAACTTTCAATTTCGTGAAAAGACACTCGTTATCGTTATTTTTCAATTCCGTGGTCGTCTATCGCAATAAAATTAATAATGCCATAAATCTACATTAATTTATCAACATTAATTTATCATCACGATGGTGTAAAACACGCCTGTCTTTGCTGTGGTGGTTCCAAGTGGTGAAGTTGAAATCGTCCCTTCGAAAACAATTTGGACGCCATCACGAGTTGGTTAATCGTTATGGAATATCTGTTTCACAGATGGCGACGGATATATTCAAATCGTCTTTTCTAAAAATACTACCATCGCTAACATTTTTAACAATAAAAATCGTGGTTACCCTTCTATCGATAAGTGTCATGCCAAAAAATGACTTACATGTCCCCGTCTTTCCACCAACAATACGGTAAGGTCCACGTTTAATGGTCGCACATTTTCTTTAAATTTTGAAACTGATATAACATGAAAAACAAACAGTATTATTTATTTACTCACATGAAACAAACCGGGATGTGGTATTCAATACGTAGGTGAAACTAGACGATATTTATCTAAACGCACTCAAGAACATCTGTATCGTTTTAAAAGACCCAACAAATTCAAAAGTATCATTTATCAACACCTTAAGAAGCACAATCATCCTATTAAATATTTAGCAGTTCAACCTTTAGAAGTAGTAAATAAGCAGCCTGGTGAATCTCATTCAAAGTTTGTACGATCACGGAAAATAATTGAATTAAATTGGATTAAAAAATTACAGACAGTCTACCCTCTCGGTCTTAATGATAATATCATGGGAATTGTTAATATATCAAGAACCGATTCTGTTAACATTTTGGATATAGTTTCTAAAACTGTTCGTAAAAACCGTTCTCATGGTCGTAGAAAAAATCGCAATCAAAGAAAATTTCGGACCAATCTTACCAATATTTCGGACCTAATTTCTATTTCAAAAAACAACGGCAGACATTATCTGTTAACAAAGCTCTGTTCATTACCGGTTAATAAGTTAAATAAAATTTTAGAGGATTGCAACACAATTTCATATAACAGTCCTAAGTATGAAATCGTTCAAATTATAATGGCATATTGTTATTCTAACTTGTATCCCAAAATTGATCGCCCTGAAGATCATAAAAAACAGTTTATTAAAATAAAGTATGTCAATAAAGGTTTTGATTTTGTAAATATTGCCGGTATTTTTAACGACCATTCTGTTAAAGAACAAATTCCGGGATATTTTGATAATACTGAGCTCCCTCTTATTTGTTATATTTACAAGAAATCTACCCGGAAATTTGTGTTTAATTATAGCCAATTGTGTAAAGATGTTAATATCAGTGAAAATTCACCTACTTCATGTAATTGCAGTAATTCCGAATACATTTATGGACCCATTTCCCATGTTATAACAGGAGATCTTAACATCGTTCAAGACCGAGAGTTAAAATCATTCCTCAGTAAAGGACCTAAATATCGTCCCCCGTCAATTATTAATTGGAATGAGTGTCGTAATATCATCCACGACTCACTCCATACTTACTGTTTGAAATGGATAAAACGGGAAAAGCTGACAAAAAATCTTTGGACTCTTTTTTTAATTCAGTAATGAACATAGTTGATATACGTATTCAACATTTTAAAGAACATTTTACTCTTAACAATAACCACAATAAACCTATTACTCGTATCAAACATAAACTAAAAGAACTAGCCAAGAAATTTGTTTTTGTCCCGGCCGATAAAGCTGCTAATAATATTATTATTGTTTGACGTAAATTTTACATTGAGGTTCTGAAAAAAGAAATCACCAATTCACCAACATTCCAACTGACTCCATTTTCAGAAAACGACATCTGTAACAAACATAAACTTTTAGCTACCGCTTTACAAGCAGAACCAAATACAATGAAAGTCCCAACTATGTATTGGCTTCCGAAGCTACACAAAACACCTTACAAATATAGATTCATTTCGTCTTCAAGCCATTGTTCCACTACTAAATTGTCTATTCTTCTTACCAGTACACTTGGTACAATCAAAAACCTGATAATAAATTGTTCAAATAAGGCCTTCGAAAATAGTGGAATTAATTACTTTTGGAGTGTCAAGAACTCGTTGGAAGTACTTGATAAATTACATGCATATATTGGTGATTTTGAATCTGTTCAAAGTTTTGATTTTTCTACCCTATATACCACATTGCCTCACATTCTCATTCAGAAAAAATTCACACACTTAATTAAATGGGCATTTAGAAAGTCAGAATGTGAATATATATGTTCAAACTCTTTTAGGTCATTTTTTAGTAGCAATAAACAAAAAAACTATGTCAATTGGACATGCTTTGATACTATATATGCCCTTGAATTTTTACTAGATAACATTTTTGTTCGCTTTGGAGATTCCGTATATCGTCAGGTTATCGGAATTCCAATGGGGACTAACTGTGCACCACTTATTGCGGACCCTTTTTTTGTATTGCTATGAGTTACAATTTATGACAAAAATCAGCAAAGACCCATCGAAACAACATCTGATACACAAATTTAATAATACTTTTAGATATTTGGATGATATTTTGGCTCTCAATAATGACGACTTCAGTATGTATACTAAAGAAATTTATCCTGTTGAACTTACTTTAAATAAAGCTAATACTAACAATGACCACTGCCCTTTCCTCGATCTTGCTATCTATATCATTAACGGAAAGCTTAATACTAAAATATATGATAAAAGAGATGATTTTTCATTTCCTATCGTTAATTATCCATTTTTAGATGGTGACGTTCCCTTGTCACCATCTTACGGTGTTTATATATCTCAACTTGTACGATTCGCTCGTGTATGTAACAATGTTTTAGATTTTAACGAGAGAAATTTATGTATTACTGAAAATTTATTACACCAGGGTTTTCGATATCACAAACTAGTCAAAACATTTACTAAATTTTATCATCGGTATAAGGACATCATTCGTAAATATAGCTCAACATGCAGACTTCTTACACGTTCAGGTATTTCACATCCAATTTTTTATGGAAATATTCTTTATCAAGCACAAAAATGTCAGTATTCATCTCTGAAGCTAACAAAACCTTTAAATAGACTTATTAAGAAGGGATATAGTTACGATACTGTTGGCAGGTCATTAAAGATTGCATATTTTGGCGTTAATATTGATTCACTTATAGGGTCTTTGCATCGGCACTAAACACATTTATTTAAAAACCAGTTGTTGGCATGACACGGGTTATGTTCTTCTCATATATGTTATGATGGTATGATACTAAACCCCTAACGGGAAGGATTGTGCCT